AACGGGGGGAGAAGCCAGGGGGATGTCACCACGGTGTTCTGCCAGGAAATTAGGGTTTTCCTAATCCTGGAAGTGTTCAGAACCGTGTTGGGTGGGGCCCTGAGCATCCTGGTCTAGTGGGTGTTGTTCCTGCCCCTGGCAGGGGTGGGGGAGGATCACTTTGAGGTGCCTTTCAAAGCAAGTCGTACTCTGATTCTGTGAAACACAGCCCATCAAGAGCCCCTTCAGCACAGGGGACAGGCTTGGACACCCTAAGGGACCAGAACTTTGGGCATCACCACCTGCACCAGGACTGGCACCAAGCAAGGTGGGACAGAGGACAGGGAAGGAGGAACTGACAGGTTTTAGCCCCAAGTATGAGAACATCCCTACAGCAAAGGGTCACCTGCGCCCGATGATACCAGGGGAAGGAAAGTTTTCATCTGGCAGACTCCAGCCCCAAGGACAACCTGCTCTGTTACCTCCCACACCATCCCAGCTAACTGGGAGCCCAGTGATGCCCCACTGCAGCCCCAGGGCAGAGGAGGGCTGTACCCAGCACTCCATCCCCTGGGCTCACCCTGACCCTGCCTGCAGCCAAGGGAGCCCAGCTGGGAACCTGACTCAGTACCCAGCAGGCAGGGGGAGGCTCATGGAATGCTCATGGCAAGCAGCACAGCTCCAGGGTGCAGGAATTGTGCCCTCCCAGATCCTGCAGGTTCGAGGTGTTGGGGAGAGGCACCACAATCACCAGCACATCACTGCTGTGAGAATTTTGGCACCTTTGGCACACAGCCCAGTGCCTCAGCTCACCCTGCAAAACAAGGGACCCAAACACCCACAAACATCACCTCAAAACCCCCTGGAAGCCATAAAGCAAAGGGGGTCAGCAAGGTTACACCTAATTTTCCAGCTCCTCCATGTCCCTCATTCAGGGAGCATTTGGGAATGACAGAACTTCCCTGGCTGCTCGATCACATCAGTACCTGGGAGGGTTCCAGCTATTTTCAAGCCAGATAAAGAAGATCCTCAGCCTTTTGCTTTTAAAACCAGAGCAGCACTAAAAAGAAAAACAAAAAGTGCAATCTGTGAGGTCAGAGATGAAGACCAGGAATTCTCTCGGTATCAGTGCCTCCCAGCACAAAACCAGGTACAGGCAGGCCAGCTAGAAGGGCAGAAAGGCAGATGGAGGGAATGGTGACAAATCCATCTCAGGAACTGGGGCTCTGCAAGGACAGGCAGGCAGCCAGCCTTGTGCTCTGGGGATTTGCAGGCTACCCGTCCAGATTGCTTTGCAAAAACAAGGCACTTTTACGCTGAGCGAGGGCAGTTTTGGAAAGTACACAGCATTCTTGCAACCAAGAGACGAAGCCCAGGAGAGAAAGAAAGGGAAAAGGAAAAATAAAAAGTGACAAACATAGGTTGTTCCAAGCAGCACTTCCAAGAACCTGTCAGAGCCAGGAGAACATGGAGCTCGCAGGGTACGTCAGCGATGTGCTGACAAACAGCAGCTCCCCTGGGCACAGCAGGGCCCTGGAGCACACGGCTCTGCTTTTCTTAGCACTGAGGAGGCTCAGGGGACCTTTGAGAGCACACCTGGCACAGGGCAGGCAACAAGGAGCAGAAGAGCACGTGCTACTCCTGAGGGAGCCTGTGTGCTAGTCCCAGTTTGTTTCCTCTCTCCGTGCTAATCCAAACCACCTGGAGCAGGAATTCCCACCAGGGAGAAGGGAATTAAGATTTTTCTCGAGGATGATAATCCATTTAAATACAGCACTTGTGAGGAGCCTCAGCACTGTTCCCAGTGAACAGCCCCTGCTCTCCCACCTGCCTGGGGGGAGAGGTGGGTCCTGTCCATTGAGCACCAAGCTGACAGAGCAGGGGGGCTTGGACAAACAGCAGCTTCTTCCAGAGCTTGCCTGAAAGTGCAGCTGTTAAACCCCAAACAGCACGGAGTCACTGTGGACTTGCTCAGAGCTGCTCTGCACCCATTGGAAGGCCTACATTGGGTAAACAGGGTTGGCTTGAGACTTGATTAAGCAGAACACCCAGTGCACTGCTTTCATTTGAGGGGACAGGCACAGGGGATGTGCTTTCTACCGCCCTCTGCCCCTCCTGGTTACAAGGGGACAGCGCTCTCCCAGTGCCATCACAAAACTGATCACGAGGCAGGGCACACCCCGTGTGGCACTGTGCTGTCCCTGCTTTACTTGTCTGGAGGAGCTGAGCAGCTCCAGCCCCAGGGCTGCTGGTCCTCTGGGGATCACGCCTGGGTGAGGCACTGCAGGAGCTGCTGACAAAGCCCCTTTGAGCTGCAGGCCACCGCGCCAGCCCCAGCCCGCCTCCCCTCCAGTAACCAAGTAGTTACACAAACATCAGCTCCCAGTTATCCAGCTCCCAAAAGTAATTTCAGATCAAAAACAGACCAAAAAGCCAGTTTTAGAAAGTACCATTTATTTGAGAAAAAAAAAAAACCAAAAAACAACAAACCAAACAAAAAACAAAACAAAAAAAAAACCAAAAAACCAAAACTTTAAAAGGATTTCACTGCCAACATCAACACAATAAAATCCCTGATATAAAAAAAAAAAAAAAAAAAAAACCAAAAAAAAAAAAAAAAAAAAAAAAAAAAAAAACCAACAAAACCAGTAACAGTGGAAAATCCCCAAGAGCAATTACACAAGAGACTCTGAATACCCCGAGAAGCAGCCACAGCTCCTGCCTGCCTGGCAGTGCTGTCCAGAGGCGGTACAGGCCTCCCTCTCCTTTCCAGCCTGCTGTGAACTCTGCGCAGCTTTGAGAGGCTCCCAGAGCCCAGTTTCCCTGAGCACACTGGTACTGGGAGCAGGGTGAGTCACGCAGGGAGGAGCTCTGCTCTGCCCCCACGTCTCAACACACATTCCTGCCTCACCCCAAGAAGGGGGCACGTTTTTTCTATCACCCCTCTGGATCTGGCCTCAAGCCCACAGCAAGGCCTCAGGAAGGAGGCTTCAGGAGCCACGAAGATTTCCAACCAGCCTTGGAACTGCCTGGTTTAGTGCTGCCTGCTCAGGTGCTCTCTTTGGGGACCCACACACAGACTTTCGTCTCACACCACGTCAGACTCAGAGATGCAGGAGGACCCAGCTTGCTCATGGTTCTGTCACACCTTCCTGACACGTGGCACCAGACACACAGCACCCTTTGCTCCGGGGGGCTGCTCCCACCCTCAGTGCAGGTGGGAGCCACGCACAGGGAATGCCGGAAGGTGCACAGCAGGGAGTCCAGAGCCTGCCCCTATGAAAGCTGGGCGATGCCACCCAGGCAGAGCTCAGAGCCAGCCTGCCCTGAGGCAGGGCTTGGCACAGCACCGCAGGGGACAGAAAGCTGTCACCTCCACACTGCAAGCTCCCAAGGGCAGCTCGAGGTGGGGATCTCTGCTCTGGCTCTGTGCAGGGGACAGAAAGCTGTCACCTCCACGCTGCAAGCTCCCAAGGGCAGCTCGAGGTGGGGATCTCTGCTCTGGCTCTGTGCACCCAGCCCAGCACACCCTGGCCCCAGCTGCTCCCAGGCTCCTCACAAACACAAGCCCCTGGTGCTCTACACAAGACATTGGACAAACAGCAGCACAAACAAGATCAAAAGCCTCTTACACACCACACCATAAGGCTGCTGAAGAATTAACTCCAGCCTTTTCATTCTCATCTGTATATATCTCAGTAAAATATATAATATATAGCTCTATAGGACTGATTGTAATATATTACAGCCTAGAATTACTCCTGTCTTTTCCCTACTTCAATCATATTTATGCATCCAACTTTGCATACAGAAGTTATTGCCTTGAATTTGTAATTGAAATTCACAGAATAAAGCTTAAATAGTTTTCACAGAGACTCATTATATTAGTGTTTTACATAAAAAGGATAAAAGTTACCAAATGAGAAAGCAGCCATTTCAGAAACTATAAATAATTCTATTTTAAAAAATCCTAGAAAAGTTATGAGAAAACCATAAATATCTTTACCCTCTATAGTAGCTGCTGTAGAACTAGAAGAAACCTGTAACACTCTGTAGCTAACTCTGCTTCAGTTCAAAGATGAATCATATAAAACAGCATCTCTAGAGAAATGCCCGGCCAAAGGAAACACAAAGGGATTGAAAAAATAAATCTGAGGAAATTAAAAAAGTAGATTATTTTTTTTATTATTTCAAAACAATTTCTACAAACTTTATATAAACATTAGGCTATTTTCTTTAAAATTTTGTTATAAAAAAATCCTACAAGCAACCCTTAAAAAAAGGTAAGAGACTGAAGGCAAGGAAAGGGTGTTGCCATAGCCAAACACAACTGGCAGTCCTGATTTCAAGGACTAATGACCCTTGCCTGGGGCCAACAGGAAGAGACAGAAGTCTCCTGGGGAAGACATTCCCATAGGCCCTTTATGGCATTCAGGGATATTGAGCCCTTGTGGGCCTTTTACTCCCTGATAAGGCAACTTTATCTGTAGTGTAAGAGATTCATAAATAGTTCTCCACAAAAATGCTTCACATCAACAGCCTGCTGCAAGACATCTAGTAGCAAGATTTATAAAAAAAAGCCATCTTCTATAGAAGCAGCCAATCCCAGCACGGCACGCTGGATGCAAACACATGGTGTTTGCTTCCATACAGTCTGGTTTGTGTTTATATACCCTCTATAAAACCAAGCAGAAAATTTGGCATCTTTATTCTTTTTTACACTAACTTAGAAAAAAAAATACACTGAGGTTATTTTTCAGACTCTTTGTATTTCATTGGGCCCTTGTTAGCTGAGCGGGATGGGAAGGGTCACGAAGGAAGTTTGTTTTTTCTCAAAGTCACTTTGAAATTCAATCCAAAAAATAAAAAAGCATTTGTTCAGCACATCTCATCTGAGGGCACAGTGTTTCAGTACAGTCTGCTTGTCCCTTGATGGGCACAAGGTGCTGCTGAGCTTTAGGCATAGAACTCGTTTGTGGGGGCTTTCTTGTAGATGGGTTTCTTCCCCAGGTCGTAACTGCCCTCGTCCTTTTTCTTCATGCGATAGACCAGGAGCAGGATCAGGAAGATGGCAAACAGGAGACCCACTGCTCCTCCTGCGATGAGAGCTGGGGAGGAAAGAGACTGCAGTAAGTCTTGGGCAACTCCAAACCACCACTGCTTCAAGAGCAGCAGCGCCCAGAGTCGTGTCCATGCGCCTGTCACTGCATGTGCTGGCACTTTCAGCAACAGCAGATGTTACTGGGAAAGGCCAGGATTGCTTCCAGTCCAAGCACAGAATAATCACATGTTCCACATTAACCAGTTTGAGCTAGTCTTCCACTTTAGTCCAAAAAAGAAATGTTGACAAAAGATGTGCTCCCTATATAGAGACAAAACAAAGAAAAACCCACCCAAAAAAGCCCCACCACAACCCACAGGAAAGAGGTACAGCTCCAGTCTGAATGCTTTGTTAACAACCTGTGTGAGCACACCCTGGGGACTCTGTATTTCAATTCATCAACATCCAATTACCAACACCACTTCCCTCAAAAAAAAAAAAAAAAATCAGAAAACCTCAACAACCAAAACCCACAAACCTGCAAAAAACCACTAAGATTTCCTCTCTCCTCACACCAAGCATGGCCACAAGGCTTCACTAAAGTTTATTCCTTGTTGTGACACTATTGTGTGCACTAAATCAGCTTCTTTGCTAAATGGTTTTGCAATCCACTCTTCCAATCTCTTCTCTGACTGGGAGGATGGCTGCAGATCAGGACAAGGGGCTTGGGTTTATACTTGGGCCATCAGGCCAAGTGCTTGAAGCAGTAATATGCTGGGGACAGACCTGTCCCACATGTTAGGGGAAGGCAGTCACTTGGCTTTGCTCTGGACATTGGTACTCAGATTCCTACAGCTGACCATGTGTTGGAATCCCTCAAGGGATTACTTGGCTCCTGGCAAAACTCAGAAAAGGCAGAACTTGGGCAGAGGTTGGAAGGAAAATGCCTGTGTTTGAAATGGAAGTCTGAGATGTCACTGCTCTATGGCCAGAGTCACCTCTTGCTGAGGCACTATCTGGGTGCAGGGCAGCTGCCACTTGAGTCAAGCCAACAGTCAGCTGGCAGGCTCAAAACCAAGCTGTTTATCCCAGCAAAGACAGCAGCAGGCTCTGCTGTTAAGGACTGGGAGGCAGAAGCCACCCTGCTACAGGCAGCCACAGAGGTAAAGCAGCTCATTCCCCAGTCAGCAGGGAGCTGCTCCCCAGAGAAACAGGGAACAACAGAAGCCATTTTGATTTTCAGTATTAATGATTTACCAGTTCAAGGTGGAGTATTACCTGTAAGGACTTCTGTTCTTTCAAAGATGCTGCTGTTGGCTGTGCTTGCCATGGAGATCTTGTTGGACAGGTTCTCTTCGACAGGTCCAGCTTTGTCTGGAATGATTTCATTGTCCACCATTGTGTTTTTCTTCTCACCTTCTATCTTTCTCCCAGTATCTCCAGGGATATAGTTGTCAGATATCTACAGAACACAGACAAACCACACCCATCAGCAAGCAGCACCCAGCCTACGACAGCTGAAACCAGGAGGGTGTGCAGGGAATAGAAGTTTGCTCAGTGCATTACGAGTACACTGTGCCTGCTCATGCAGGTGGATTTGTCTTTATGCAGGGGGGAGGGTGTTCAGAAAGCTTCACAGATGGACCAGAGGAGCTACATGCTGTTTAAAGACACTGGGCAATACCTACCACAGGGGTGTCCATGGTGGTCAGATACAAGCCGTCTTCAGAGTCTGGGTAGTCTGCAGAAGGGGCAAAAAAAAAAAAAAAAACTCTCAAGATTTTTGTCTCATTCCATGCTGTTTTTACAGGATTCAGACACTTCCTGCAATATCTGCACATACTAGGACTCTTGTCCTCTACAGTTCCCTCTTATCTACTAGTACTATTTATCACTGAATGACCTGGATTGCACAAGACCAGGAGATGCAATCTTGAAAGCAACACCTCTCCACTGGGAGGGATCTTCAGCTGGACCCATTGGCCCTGCAGAGCAGGTCTGCCACAGCTTATAAGGTAATGCCAATGGAGGGCACTGCTCCCACCACCCATCCCTAAAGGATCCTGCAGCAACCCTCCAGATCTGCCCAAACATGTCAGCCACCGATTGCAGCATTTGTTCTTTTACTTTTAGGGATCAAATGTTCACATAAAGGGACACAGAGCTACAGAAACTGGTTTGGGCAGGGAGCTTTGCATGTCACAGAGAGTTCACTTGAACACCAGCTAGTTCTTTACCTTGTTTGGCCTCAACTGAGACATTAACTTTAAGCCTTTTAACACTGCCTCAACAACAGATTATTTTTTTTTAAGTTTCTCAGCAGTTCTTTGGAGTTCAACAGGAAAAAGATCGAGCCAGCACAAGGCCTTTTCATTTGCAGCAAGACAAGCTTGGCTGGACTCCATCTGTCCTCCCTGAGTGATTCAACATCACAGCACCACTACTTTCACTGTTCTCATCTGAGTGACTACGAGTCACAGTTTTCATCTCCACCTTACACTGTGATTCCTCTGGAGCTCTGGCTGTGACTTAGCCCATCACTCACGGGCTGGTGCTGAAAGAAATTTCACAGCAACAGCTGAGGGAGATCCACTTCCCCACTTACCTCCTGACCCAGATGTCTCATCTATATCTAAGCCATCAGTGGTTAAGTCAGGCCTGAATTCACCAATGTCTTCATCGTCTGGCAAGTCCCCAGAGGCAGGGTAGTCAAGCCATCCAGCATCCATGGTTTCAGTTTCTCTCACCTGTAAATGAGGGTGGAAACATGTTAAATATGAAACAACTCTCCAGACGCATTTCACAGAAGGTTCAGAGCCTGAGCACATCACTTCCACCAGAAAAATATTAAATGCTGAACTTCCTCTCCACCAAAAGCATTATGTTTATCAGCTGAATTTCCCTAGAATTTCTCAGAACAGAAGTGAGAGCCAGGCTGGGAGGGGAATTTCCTGAGGGCTACAGACTGAAAAGGTTCACCCAGACACACAGGGTGAAAATATCACAACAGGATCTTGGTCAGGAGTTTGTGGCAAAGCATTTGGAAAAGCAGTACCTTCAGCTTGTGATAAGGGAGAGTTTGGAAGGACTTGTAATTCCCAGGAAAAAAAGCCTGATGGGTGTAGGCCAGTTTTTTGCACAGCCCCAAAGCTTCATACCAAAGCAATTCCTCACGCTTTATACTGAGAACAAGCCTACTTTATCACCCAAGGGTTAAAAGCTGGTCTGTCAGTTCAGCTGAACTGCAGTGCAATACAGGCTGAGTTCAAGAGCACTCCTATCAATAATGACTTGCCTGAAGGAAGAGCTTCCCCTGCATCACCTTCTTTAAAAGCATGTAAACAAACAAACCCATAAAATATCGCCAGGATCCAAAGGCCCAAGGAGTGCAGTTACAGCAGGAAAGCTGGAGAGCCTCCCAGCTATCAGCTGTTTGGCCACAATGGCAATTTACACAGCGGAGCTCATTTGCACTTGGACCTTCAAGGAGCCACAAGCCCAAATCTCCTGCCCTCACCAAAGTTATGCAACTTCCCAGAACTATTTCTCCTCACCCCACAGCCCTGGGGCCAGGCCGGTGAGGGTACCACAGGTATGAGCTTTGGGGTTGCTCAACACCACCCCACAGCCTCTAGATGCTTCCAGAGCCATGAAATCATCACCACGGAGGGGGACTCAGCCCCTTCCCCCGAGGCAAGGGGCACAATGCAGATGGACAGCTCCCTTAGCTGGGGGCTAAGCTGACAACATTCTTCCCTGCTGTCCTCACAGGACAACTGGGAAGTCTTGACAAAGGTTTTGTCTAGCCAGAAGAGCATTCCACAGTCCTGCACATCTGGGGGTTTTTCTCAGTACAACATCTCCAGGCTACAGCCTCACTGGGGTGAGGAGGATCAGAGACTGCTGGGGACACCTGGAGCTGGATGGCAGCACCACGGAGCCCTGAGCAGCTGGGGTCAGCCCCCTGCTCACCTGGCCAGGTGTGGCCCATCCCACAGCCCAGGTGATGAATTACATCCGCTATTGATCCCTAACCAAGGCAAACAACCAGCCACAAGCCATGTGTCAGCTTCCTCTGCCCACAGCCCCAGCCCTGCCTCCAGCCCCATGCCCCTGCCCACTGGCACACGGGGCTGGCCACAAACAAGGACAAGATGTTTCTCAGTTTGACCAGGAGCAGTGGCACTGGATGTGCTTTTCCTTGCTTACTGAGGCATTTTTGGTTTCCCCAGCAACCCCGCTACAGGACAAGCAGATGAACAGCCCAGAGGGCATGAAGTGCTGAGGCCAGTTCTCCCCTCAGACCCTCTCTCCGTGCTATGCCAAGCCTGGCACTAGATGCTGGGAAGGGGGCTGGGAGGAAAGTCAGCTTGGAAGGAATCCTCTCCCAGCCTGGAATCAGGCATTCCTAACATTACGGATCACTTGCTCCAAGGCAAATTCATTTCAAGATATGTGAAACCCAGCCACAGCCAGCCCTGCAATGGAAACTGCTTGCCAGCATGCAGTAGCTGTTCCCAGGGCAGCTTCTGGCCATTTCATGGAGGGGGAGGAAGAACCCAGTTCCTGAGGCTGGGGAGCACGTTTGCTGCAGATCCAAAAAGCCCTGCACCAGGCAGGGATTGATGCTGGCAAGTGCTGTGCTGAGCCACACCCAGTGCCAGCTCACCCTGTACTTCACCATGAGTCACAGCCAGTGATGTCCAAGCAAGGGCAGCTCGAGAAAACCCAGGTTTAAGCCCTGGGGTGGCTGGAGAGCCCACTGGCCTTATCAGATCAGCCCAGCCACCAGCTGAGTGGTGGCACACAGCCACAGTGGTTAGTGCACGCTGTGCAACACACCAGGGCCGGCTATCAAAAAACCCTATTTAAATCAGGACAGACAGTGTTTACCAGCAGGGCACATAACAAGGAAATTACTGACTCACAAGCATAAATAAGATTATATGGGAGCGTTCCCTGAACTCATTCTTCATCATCCTCTTGAGCAAGGATGGGGAAGTTCCTGGAGGCCGCAAGAACTTCTCAAACCACACAGGAAACTTTTCTTGTGGGCAGTGGCCTCACATTACAGGTTCATCTGACAGGGAACTCAGAGGGCTGCTGGGCACCTGCACAATTACTCTCCAGGTTTAAAGGCATGTACTTCTAGGAAGCAGCCCTGCCTGGGAGCTGGGGCACGGGCAGGCTGGGAAGGGTTAACACTGGAGTGCAGTGCTCACAGGGCAGGTCTGGAGCAGGCACATTCCTCACACACATACCTGTGAGAGGGCACACGGGCACCTTCACAGGGCTCACCAGCAACAGCTCTGGGGCTTCCCAAGTGCCACATAAAGAGCTCCCTGGAGAATTGTTTTAAAAAGTACATCCCTTTCCAAGGGCACACAGCTCTGCTGCCTGGCAGAGAGGCACCACAGAAGGTGCCTGTACTTCCTCTGGGCTTGCAGGCTGCAGCCAAGAGGGAAAAGCTCTGAGATGGCCACAAGAGGATGGTCAGCCCTTGCCAAGTCACCCCTGGCCACATCCAGCTTAACACCTTCTGCAGCTGCCAGCTGGAGAAGGGCACCAGCGCTGCTCCGAGCCTGCCTTCCACCACCTGCTGTCCTGCACTGGAGCCAGACCAGGACTGCCTGGGACAGCCTGGGCAGCTGCACAGCCCCACCTCAGCCTGGCAGCTGAGCTGGAGTCCTGCAGTTAATATATGCTCCTCTCCAGGAGGGGTCTGCACAGGAATCAACCTTTCCTGCAGGAGTACAGTTCAGGGATTTCTTCCTCATGTTAAGCAGCTTTATCCCCAGTAAGCACAAAGGGAGATTAAACAGCATGCTGGGGAGCAGCAGCTTTTCCTGCTTGCCAGTGGCAAATATAAATAAGTAAGAGTTTATTCCCTGCCAGACAACCAGCATGTCAGGCACGTGAACTGCGAGTGCCGTTCCTGGAAAAGCTGGGCACAGAGGCCTTATGTTTTGAGACAAGCTGCACTGCTGGATGAAGCCAGACACTCTTTGCTCAGTGGAGGCACAGGAACAGCAGCCCTGGGACCCCAGGCAGCCCTGCTGTGCTCCATCCCTAACCCATCCCACTCCATTTCATGCTCCTGGGGTTTTCCCTCACAGCCCCAGAACACCACTCACCTCTTCTCAAAGCAAGATCAACTATTCATCAAGGCAGCAAGCAAAGTTTCTGTGCAATGTGTCAACTTCCCCAGCCACTGGCAAGTTCTGGGAAATAACAAACCCAGGCAGCTCACCTGCCCCAGCCCACATGTCCTCACCAGAGCCCTTCCAAACCCTTTCAGAAAAACCCAAATGGTGTTTTGGGGCAGAGACAAAGTTTTCCAAACATGGAACTGGTTTTTACAGCTGTCCCTTGCCTCTGATCAAACACAGAGTTCATTAAAAGCTCCTTTGAAGGGTCACGGGCAGCAAGGTGCAAAGGGAGTCAGACCTGCAGGGACTGGGGCATTCAGTGTACAGAGCCCTTTATCAAGTTTACAATTTTGGCATGGAGACCCAGCGCTTGCTCCTGGGCTCCCTCCCCAGCACTGTGTACATAAACCTGGGAGTAAACAGGAACAAGGTGAAAGTCAACCTTTCCTAGACAAAGGCACATGGAGCTGGGCCAGCCTGGGGGGTGGCAGAAGAGGGCAGAGGCACAGAGTGTTAACCCTGTGTGGCCTGCAGGGACAGCCAGCTGTAAGCTGTTCCCAGGGCTCCCAGGCTCTGCACTCGGGGCCCGGGTACAGATCACCTCATTTCACTGCAGCAATACACAAAATATCCTCCCCAGCCCCTGTGCTGTCACAGGCAGGTGTCACCTCACACCACCACAACACACAGCTGTCACATAACCAGGAAGGGCTCCTGAGCAGCTGCAAGGATGCAGAGCTCTGTAAACCACAGAGCCAAGAGCGGGGATTTCCATACAGTTCCCTTGCACACAGCTCTTGCAGGAGCCCACAAACCAGGAAGGTTTTAAAGCTCACACCAAGCATGTGAAAGAGCAGGGTTAGGAGTGAGCTCTCCCCTTGATGCCCCAACAGCCCCCCAAGAGCAGAGGAGCCACTGGAAACAGGGCAGCTCAAATCAGGGTGAAACAGCCCAACAGAGCTGATCTCCACAGGAGGGAGGTGTGCAGTGACAACAGCCAAAGACTACTCTATCTTTCCCATCCGAATAAGCATTAAAAAACCTTATTAGAAGTGACATGAGCTTTCAGCAGAGGCAGTTCCTTCCAGATAAGTGCAGGAAGGGTCTTGTATTACCCCACAAAATACCCTTCACTCCTTTCTCTCATTCCATGCTTCAGCTCCATGTAAGGGAGAAGAAAATAAATACACAGAAGTCATTTCAGTCCCGAGAGCAAAGCAAATATCAACATTTCAACTGAAGTCACACCTAGCTCCCTTAACACAGCAGCCACAGTAAAATAATTTTAAAAAAATCCACTCGTGCCAGCTCCTTGTGACTACGCCTGGAGGTATCATTTTACCACCCGTTCCTGGTCAGTTTGTCCCACACAACTTGCAGCACACACGGCCTGCACTGTCCTTTGTGCCAAGGGACAAAAGTTAAGCAGCTCCCATCCAGGCATATGTTTGCATTTAGTTGCATGACAGGATCACCTGAGGCTGCCAGACATAGTTAAATACTACCTTTGCTCCACACTTCCCAAGCAGTCCTAGAGCAGGGCCACAGCCAGCCTTGCCCATCTCCCCTGACAGCCACTGTGCAGCACTCACCACAGT